ACGGTGGCGGCGGGAGGGAACTGGAGGTATTCCCCGAGCGGTGGAGGACTGAGTCTAGCTGGGACCCGAGTCCTCCGGTATCCCAGCAGCCACCGGAGGCAGTGAGGTAATCAAGGAAGAATGTAGTGAGTCCTCCAGTGGACCAGGCGCCCTCTAGCGAGCTGCGAAGACCATAGAGACCAAGGAGCCGCGGGAGTACCGCCCCGCCACTATCACGTGTCCGAAACCCGCACACCCTATTGGCTGGCGTTGATCCACAGAGTTGAATTTAGGAGGCTGCTTTCCTGTCACGGCTCCGAGTCCCAGGCAGTCCGAATAAAGAGGGCCATCCGAGGAAGACCGATAGCAGGATGGTGGACCGAGCGGGTACCCGGCTGTGAGGCCCGCTGGCGCGGTGCGCGCCGAGCCGCTGGGCTCGGCGAGCGGCGCAGAGTACGCCGGGAGTCGTAGTCCGGCCGTGCTGGCCGCATTGTTCCGCGCAACCTGGGTACCGGCTCGGGTCGCCGGCCAGGGGCCGCCTTGCTGCAGGGCCTTTCTCGGGTTCGCGACCGACTCCGAGCTGCCAACGGCTTTTCTCCCAGGCGCGCACGCTCGCGTCGCCTCACCTGACCCGGCCGCGGCCTTCGAAAGCAACCTGCAGCGGGCAACTCAGTCCAGCCTTACAGCAAGCTAGTGACTGCCAAGGCCAGGCCCGCAGGGAGCGCTCCCACTGGCCTCGCAACCTCTGAGGCCCGGAGAACTGCAGCCAGTTCTTGGCCTCAGAATCCGTCGCCCAGTCCTGGCCCAAGCTGCCGGACCCACCGCACAGGATTGTTGAAGAGGCCGACTAAGCACATTCTTCAGCGCTAGTAGGCAAATGCCTGAAAGACACTTAAAAATAATTTTTTAAAAATCTAGGAGTAAATTAATTTCGAATGTGTACTTTATTTTTTTTTTTTACAGTTGACCTTAGGGCAGCATTTTTATTTTTAATTGCAGCAGAGACTGCACGAAAAGTCTTAATTCTGCCCTGCTACAAACAGTCTAGGTCCTACAGCAAAGATAGCTGATTTTAAGGCAATGTCTGTCTTAAGAAAATGGACTCTGAAGTGTCTTGTGTTTACTTTTTGTTGATGCACAACAGAATCCTTAACGTGTTTTTCCTCAGGGCCAAAGAAAAGGAGTAAAAAATTAAAATCATATCAAACAACGAAGCTTTCTAGCAAGAACCTACTATAAAATGCATAACGTACCCAAGCATAAAAGGATCTACTGCAGATTCTTGGCATAATTACCTGTAAGCAAAAAAACTGCTAGGCAACTGAGTGATATGTCTTGGGCCTGGAGCTAGCAGAGAACCAGGCAAAGACAGAAAGCAAAGACAGGTACGCTTTGTGGAACAGGTGACTTTAAAGGATTTTTGTAGCTGTCTTCATAAATCCTGTCATAGACTTGTGCTTATCTGCTTTTGAGGCCACATTTGCCAGTTTCTAACCTCTATGTGCCTGAAAAACTACAAATTAGATGGTGTGTGGCCTAGAGCCAGGAGCTCAGGAGGCAGAAAGCCAGAGGCCAGGTTTTTGCTTCTGAATATGAAGGCCAAATCCTGAATTAAAAATAATCCAAATAGGTTTCACATAGTGAAGGTCTTTCCAGCTGAAAGTCTTAAAACATGGCATCTGGAATCAGGCCTTACTCAATTGCTCCCAGGGTGGTACTATGTAGTCATTAAACAGCCCACAGATAAGGGAGTTATTGCTCCCTGGTTATCTAGCTGCCAGGAGGTAAATGATGGAATTTAGTTGGACTTGAAACACTCCCGAATTAAGACAAAAACAAACCTTGCTGTGAACTGATGTAAAAGCGTTCTATTGAGAGGTAGGATCCAGATGCTGCTGCTGTTTTTAACCAGCACTGAAAGGCAAAGGGTCAGGACTTAGGAAAAAATTATTTTGAGGTCATGTCAGGTTAGCAAGCAGTGGTCTGAACTGATGCAACATTAAAGAGAAAGTATGAACAGGAGGTAGAAAGTGAGAGCAGTGAATTTCATAAATATGGAAGAAACTATGTTTTAATTTCCTCGTTTCCTGTATAAGATACAGAAATCTGGTGCATAGTAGGCATACAATTATTTTTGGAGCCTGAGTGAGTAAGTGAAAAAGGAAGCCAACAAGCAGCAGCCAGATAATATAGGTGGGAAAGAGGAATTGTAGAAAAGCTAGGGAGTTCAAATCCGTTGCATCATCCTGAAACATCTTGGTTCACTATGGTGTAACAACCAGTCATCTTTAGAACACCCAGAACAAATCACCTGTCTCCCAGATGCACAGCTCTCTATCATTTCTTACCTTGAACACTTAAGAACGTACGATAATAATTAAGAGCATTGGATGACCAACCCCTAGTGTTTAATGGAGCTATATATATCCCACATGGCCTACTACAATTCTATTCAGACCTTGGTGACTTAATTTTTTTTTCCTTAGAGTATATAAGCATACCAGAAAGAGAAAGAAAGTGAGAAATCACATCCCGGGGGGGGATGACCACACCACAATCCCTTCCCCATTGTCCTCTGGGATTTTGGGCACACAGGCAAGCACATGCTCCCGACGTGAGTTTCAAGCTGCAGGATCCACGATTCAAATCATTGTCAGCCATGTGGGAGTCCAGCAACATAACTAGTACGCCATCTGCTGGTCCCACCTTGGTAACTTGAAAAACCTACACTGGGCACATGTGTGTGCATGCCCAAAATCCTACAGGATAGAGAAATGGAGATGGGATTGTGGTGTGACTATTCCCCATGGTGGGTGCTTTCTCCTATTCCCTTTCTCCCTCTCTCATGGGCACAATAAATAAACTGAAAAAGAGGAAAGAGAAGGGAAGAAGAAGGTGGTAGAAGAACACCATTTGTGTTCCAGGAGGTGGTAGCAAGGTGGTACCTAATCCTGGTACCAAGTACTGTATCAGTTAAAGAGTCCAAGAAATAGCAACCACACTAGGCATTTCAAACAGAAAGGGTTTGGTTCTAGGAACTGGTCACACAGATGTGAGAAGTCTGAAAGAACAAAATAGGTGTTGAAATAACCTGAACGTGGGACCAGCAGGTGGCATGGTGGTTAAGGTGCTGGACACTCCCACATTGGCAACCACAGTTCAAATCCTAAACCTGGTGGCTTGCTTTCTCACTTTCCCTCTCGCTCTAACTCTCTCTCTTTGTGTATCTCTCTCTGGTCGAATTAAAATAAATGAATGAATAAATAAAATTAAGTAAATATTTAAAAAAAGAAAGAAAGAAAGAAATAACCTGAACGTGAGCACCTGTAGGAAGCAGCTACACCCCTGGGGCTGGGAGAACAAAAGGGAAGTGGTGGCTTCACCAGAGCCTGGGGAATTGCAGGATGGGCCTTTGTAGGGCTGGTACTGGGACCATAGGGTGTCCCCTTGGTCCAGCTATGGGAGTCCCAGTGGTGCCCAAGTGGTAGGGACTGGACCTCCTTGTATTTCTGGGAGCATGAGGCACAGTTGTTGAAGACCC